AACACCTTGTTGAATTTTATTAAGCAACACCGAAAAGAAAGAGTGAAATATAAAGGCCAATTTTATATATCAAAATGATGATAAACAAAATTAATAACTTGTTAGCTTTTCTATTTATTAATAAGATATTTTATATTTTTTATAATTTATATTACATAGAGATGGATATAAATTTATTTTACTATTTATTTATCCGTGTTTATGAAGAATATTTATTTATTTATTTTATATTAATATTATATATGATAATATTAATCTAACGAAAAGTTCTAAAAAAGTGATTATATTATTACTTGAAGAGACAAATTTTGAAGGCTCTAGAAGAGTGAATATTTATTACTTGAATAGATAATTTTTAAAGACTCTAGAAGAATGAATATATTATTACTTGAAGTGATAGAATTTAAAGACTCCAAAAGAGCAAATATATATTATCCGAAAGGATAGATTTTATTATAAATGATGCATTATTCTTTCTAAAGTCTCATAGAAATTTGTTGAGTTTTAAAGATATTCATCTAAATCGACATCATATCAAGGTAACAAATGTGAAAAATACTGAATTCTTAAATATTATAATTATGTCGGATAGAAAATATATATTGTAGAAATTACTTGTTTTCTCTTCTAGTAAACATTTGAATGATTGAAACAAATACTATAGTAAACTAGAAGTTTACTAATTCAAATATTTTTATTATGTGGCATGGTCGATTGTGTTATCGTAGGTATTTCATGATATGAAGAATTATTAAAAATTTATTTGTACATCTATTAAAGAGCCAAAAGATTCTTTAATTTCATGAATTTTCTTATTTAACATGTTCTCAAGGCAAATCGATTATTAAGCCATCGCAAGTAAAATTGAGATTGAATCTTCGATATTTTTAGAATGTATTCAAGGTGATATATGTGAATCAATTCATCCACCATGTGGATCATTTAGATATTTTATGATTTTAATAGATGTATCCATAAAATAATCATATGTATGTTTATTATCTACTCAAAATATGACGTTTTCGAGGTTGCTATCTCAAATAGTTCAATTACGAGCATAATTTCTAAATTATGCCATTAAAACAATTCATCTTGATAATGTTAATGAATTTATCTCTCAAGTATTAAATGATTATTGATTGGCTATTAGAATAAAGGTTGAACAACCCGTTGCTCATGTTCATACTCGAAAGGTTTAGCAGAATCATTTATCAAAAAGGTTTCAATTGATAGCTAAACCATTATTTATATATAAAAAAACTCTATGTTTATGTTTGGAGACATGCAATTTTACATATAACAACACTTATTCGCATTAGACTTATAAGTTATTAGAAATTCTTCCCCTTCAATTGGTTAGTGGTCATGAGTCAAATATTTCTCATATAAATTTATTGATCGTGTAGCATATATCTCTAGTACTCATCTACAACGAATTAAAATAGGTCATTAAAGGAGATCGGGAATATATGTACTATTTGAATCCTCTTTGATAATTAAATATATCAAACCAAGAATAAGGAATACTTTTAGAGCTCGATTTGTTGATCGTCATTTTGATGAAATAGTTTTTTCAATATTAGAGGGAGATAATACGCAAAATAAGTAGTTAAAAATGTTAGAAAAAGATATTACATAGAGTATTGTGTATCTTTACATAATCTTGATCCTCATATAAAATAATATAAACTAGAAGTTTAGAAGATAATTTATTTACAAAGTATTGCGGACTAGTCGTCGGATACATTCTCGGATCCAAATAGAGTAACCAAAATACATGTCCCCGTTGAAAATACTCATATTAGAATTCATGTCCTAGAATGATAATTTATTAATGTTATAGCAAATAAATCTATTGAAGGATGGAAGATCGATTAGTTCTAAAAACAAAAATCTTCAAAAGAAAAGGAAAAATAATCAAGATGAAAATACAAAATATGCAAATATTTACAAAACGGTCCAACTTTTTTTTGTAATAGACTTCTAGAATAAGTCTAAATGCTTGAGAACAGTTAAGAGACTTTGATAAATTATGTCAATATAGGGAGAAATTATATTATCTTACAAATAAGTAGTTTTTGAACCCATAATCAAAACACTTAAAGATGTTAAGCTAGTGAAATACAAATGGATAGTTGTGTGAAAACAAAATAAGAAAGATGAGATTGTGAGATACAATATAAGAATTGTGACACAATAGTTTTTGGCAAAGACTCGACATTGATAATGAGGAGACATATTCTCTTATAATGGATGTTATTATTTTTTGCTATCTCAATAGCTTGAAAAAATATATAAAAAACTTCACATGCATGCATTTAATGGATATGATCACAGACTTATTTATTCACTTAAAATGATATCTATATAAAAGTCTTAGAAAGACTTAAGATACTTGAGACATGTAATACATATTGCTAAGAAATGTATTCAATTAAATTATGAAGATCTCTATAATGATTATTTTATTATTTTAGTTTTTAGAAATTCAATTTATACTATGCTTTTTATATTTATTTTTATATTTTTCAGTATCTACTCTTTGTTACTTATCCGTTTGTTTGTGATATAATTGCTTGAATGATTATCGAAAGTTATAAAAATAACCTTATTTGTTCATGTATTTTTATTTGGAAAGGGGTTTGTTATACATGTTGATAACTTAAATATTATTGAAACTTCGAAGAGATTGCAAGTGACATACGCTATCTAAAAAGAGAATTTGAAGTGAATATCTTAGGGAAATAAAATGTTATCTCAACATGCGGTTTGAGCACTTAGAGAATGAGATTTTTATTCATTAGTCAATTTATGTCGAAAAAGTTCTACAATAGTTCTATATAAAGTTCTACAATAATTCTATATAAAGCTCTTCGATTGACTAGTCTAATGGTACTTAATTTATTTGATATCCAAAAAGATCTTTTTTGACTTCGAAAAGATAACTAAAAATTAATTGGTCATGAAGTATCATATCTTAGTGCTATTAATGCATTAATGGATTTTACTAATAATACCCGACCCGATATAATATTTTTTTATAAATTTATTAGTAAGATATAGTTACGCTCTAATACGAAGACATTAGAATGGAATTAAACATATACTACGTTATCTCCGAAGAACAATTGATATGATCTTATATTATTCTAATAAATCAAAGACATGATTAATTGGTTATGCGAGTTGCGAGTTATTTAGTTGATCCACATAAAACTCGATTACAAATTGGTTATGTATTTATTTTGAAGATATAACTATATCATGATGTTCTATGAAGCAAACTATAGTCGTCACATCTTCAAATTATGCGGATATATTATTCTAATAAATTAAAGACATAATTAATTGGTTATGCGATTGCAATTCAAGAGATAAGTTGAAAATGTATTTGGTTAAGATCAATGACTCATCATATTTGAGAGGCATATGGTTTATCCACTCGGTAAAGATGTTCCAACAATATTGTATGAAGATAATACCGCTTACATAGCTCAATTAAAAGAAAGATATATAAAAAATGATATAACGAAATATATATCACAAAAATTATTATGATACAACGAAATATATATCACAAAAATTATTTTCACACATGATTTTTAACGGAATGGTGATATTAATGTTCAACAAATTCGATCAAGTGACAATCCAACGATTTGTTCACTTAGGCATTACCTATCATAACTTTTGAGAAGATGATTCACAAGATTAGAATGTGTCGTCTTAGATATATTAAATAATATTTTCAATAGGAGAAGCCCAATATGGAAATTAATGTGTACAATGAATATTGTATTCTTTTTTCTTTACTATGATTTTTTTTGAATGGTTTTTTCCTAGTAAGGTTTTAATGAGGTATGTTCCTTATACAAAGGATATTCAAGAGGAAATGCTTTGAAATAATGAATGTCTATATGCTTTTCATATCCACACTACTCATAATTCTTAATATGATTTAATTCATCATTCAATATAAAAAATTATAAGGGTGTTGCAATTGATTTAATAATTTATATAGTTTTAATTATTCATTAGTTAATGTATAAGTATTTTATCGAGATTGAGAGAATTATTTGAAGTTGTTATTTCTTATATTTACTTTATTTTATAATGAATTCATTTTACTATAATCTTTTCCCTCAATTCTACTATTGAAGCTTTATTCAATTATATTATAACATGTCACATTCATCATCTTGCCATTTAATTAGTAACAAGTTTTGATGACAAGGGTGAAATCACTAGTCATGTTAAGTAAAACGTGTTGCTCTGCTCTGGCCCGATTTAATGCAGAAAATTAGAATTAGAATCGATCGAATATAAAAGGAAGAGGGATCGAATAGTATTTTCCCCTATTGTAACAAAAAACACATTTTTTTCCTCAGAGAAATATCATGCTTACTCAGTAAATAGCATTAATCGTCCATCTCAGTCTCGTCTCATTAATCATTATCATTGCCTCCTCCATCCTCATCTTTGCTTGCACTCTTCAAAAATCAAAACTAACGAACTAAATTAATTAATTAATTAATTAATATACTCATTACTCTCTTCAAAAAAGCTCAAACTCAACTGTCACTTTAATTACCATTCTGCCATCACCTTCTCTTCCTTAATTACCCCCTCTCTCTCTCTGCATCATGGTTTCTCTCCTCCCTCAATGCCCTGCGCGCACACACACATATATCACAAAAACTGCAACTCTTTCGTGCCAGTATAAATATTTTATTTTATACCTCAAGAAGCCCTTTCTGCAAACAACCCAGAAACCAATATCCTCTCTTTCACCGCTTCTCTAAATTAAATTCCCTCTCTCTTACGGTATTGCCAAACACTCAGTTCTTTCATTTATCTTGCCATTATTATTGCTTTGATTCTTTTCTTTCTCCTTTTGTTTGTATCAATGCAGGAAATGCTATAGCTTGATGTGAGAGTATCATTCAGTAGCAAGTTAGTATAAAGTTTGTTTTTCGTTATAAAAAATGAGGGTCAGAGAAATGCATCCATTATGCTGCATCTCACTAGAGGGTACAGAAATCGGGAACCAATCACCGGATGCAACGTTGACTCGAGCAAGATCGTTGCCGGCGACATTTTCCGGTGGATCTAACGGCAATGCAGGGAGGAAAGCGGCGGGATCGGAGGTGACGGTGGCTGGAGTGTTGTACAAGTGGACGAATTATGGGAAAGGGTGGAGATCGCGCTGGTTCTTGTTGAAAAATGGTGTGCTTTCTTACTCGAAGATTCGTCGGCCGCCGGAGAGTATTAATTTGTGTGACGATGTTAGATTGATTGGAGAAATATCGACGAATCGATTATTGAGAATGGATAGTCGCGGCAGTGGAAGACAGAAGCCGGAAAAAACTGTTGGCGTTGTCCATCTAAAGGTATCATAAATAAATTGAAAATCACAAATGGAAAATTAAAATTATGGCTGTTGAAGGATCAATGAAGCGAAAGTGTTTGTTTATTTATTATTTATATTTATCTATCTATTTTGGGACGGTGTATGTCTGTTTTCCATTTATTTTTTTGGCGGTATTGGAGAAAGTGTTGCAGATTTTTGGAAAGTTTTTGAAAATAAAAATAAAATAAAATGTTTACTTTTTGTCAAATATTATTTTCTTTTTGCTATATTGGATTTGGATTCATTTTCTGAGAGAGAAAAGAAGGAAATGATTTTCGTGGATTTGAATACGAACTTTTTTATTTGCTTGCTTTTGTTGTTGATTTTAATGTATGGGGTACTCTGTTTTGGTTTTTGTTTTTACAGTTTCAACTGGTTGTTAATGTATAGTGGGTCACATCAGCAGGTGGGTTTTGGCGTGGGTGTGTTTGTGTGTGTGTGGGGGTATGGTATGGTATGGTATGGCTAGATTAAGGTATGGTGTAGGTCTAGTTATTCAAAGGTCTGGTCACATCAACGGTCTTGAATGAATGGATGGATTTTAGCACTATCAAATGATCTTTAATTTCTTGCTTTGATCTATTTCATTTCATAATTGACTAAATTTTGTTTTCACTCTTTCATATGGATTCCCACATGGCCACATCCCATCCAAAACCAAACCAATAACTTCTTTTCTACTGTATTTTTCCACCTGGGCTAAGTTTTTTCTTAATATATATTTTTTTGGTCTTTAAAATAATGAACAGAAGCATTGATCAAATGGTAGGGATGGTGTTGTTTCGCTGAAATTATGAGGTGGGTTTTATTTGTTACTGGCTTTAGGTTTTTGTGTTTTGGGATTTGAGTGGCTAAGCGGTAACTTCCTGTTTTGTTTTATATATTAAGCAAACCGGGTCTTTTTTTTTTTTTTTTTGAGTTGCTGGTTTTGATATTGTGAAGAAATTGACCTTGAACAATTTGTGGGGCCTTTTATGATTAGTTAGTAGGCGTGGGCTTCCCTCATTTTCAAAGTCTGGGTGTTTATTTTAATTTTACTGCTACTGTTTATAAACTGGAGAAACAAAGGATGCTTTTGTGGCAGCATTTTTAGCATATTCTTTTACAACCAGTAGATCCTGCTGACTCCAATCTTGTGCTTCTTTTGGGCAGTGCCAAACTTTAGCATATTGGGGACTGAGTGGTGGGTTTTTTGGCTTTTGTGTTTTGACAGCTGATTTATATTCTTGTCACCAAACATTAATTGGTGTAATTACCGTTATTGGTTGTTTTGAGGTATCGTTTGGTCCTATAACTTGTTAAAGAGGTTTACTCCTACTTGGGTTGTTCCATAATGAGCTGAATGGTGGGCAGGACTCGGTTTGAAGAGTCTAGCGGTTTCTCTTCTGGGTATGTCTGGGTTTATTATTTTTACTTTACTTATCCTGGGGAACCTTGTACTTCAACATTATAGCCTCTCTTTATCTACATGCAAGAAAGTTATTGCCATTTGAAATTAAGAACACATTCATTATTCAAGCTTATTCCTTTGATTTTGTTTGTTGATTTAGTCATACAATTGTTCTACAATCCTAATTGTGAAGAATAAAGATAGCATTTTTAGTATGTTTATACTGGACAATGTGATGCAATTGTTGTGAATGTTTATCGGGATGTTGTCTGAATTCATTTAGCAGATATCATCATTCCGTGAGAGCAAGTCCGATGATAGGCGGTTTTACATATTTACAGCGACAAAAACACTTCATCTGAGAACTGATTCAAAGAGAGATAGAGTGGCTTGGCTGCAAGCATTGGTCTCAACTAGGAGCCTCTTTCCATCAAGATCGTTAAATGATAGTCTCTCCCTTGTACCCAATGATTTGTCTATTTCAACGGACAGGCTTAAAAAACGTTTACTTGAAGAGGGTATCAGTGAAAACCTTGTAAAGGATTGTGAGCAGATCATGCTATCCGAGTTTTCTGAAATACAAGGACAAGTTAAAGTTCTTTGTGAAGAACGGTCCAATTTGCTAGACACATTAAGGCAATTGGAGGTAACTAAGAACTACTAACTTTTTATTGGAGATATTTGTAGTGATCTTTAGTATATTTATCTCTTTTACACACATCTGAATTAATTGTTCTTTTTCCATTGCCATGTCAATTTGAAAAGTGTTGTTATCGATCCTTTTCTTGAACACAAATAATTTAATGAGAGGATGAATTCTAGTGATTGTTCATCTTCAAGTGAAAAAAATACTAAGGTTGGCCCAACAAATTTTCATCCTTTGGACAATACAAACACTACCCTAGCTTCTTAAATGTTATCGACTGGCTCATTTTTCAAGAAAATCCTTGGTTTTGTCTTGTAAAATGTGCCTTTTAACCTCTTCTTTTTTAAATTTTGATTGAAAACTTACGATTATAATGTAGAGTAAGAGTGCAGGGAGTTAATAGAATGACACATGCTGGTAGGTTTTTGAATTGAAAAAATATAATTTACAGGTGGTTAATGCAGTTTCTGCTGTTCATTTATAATATCTGAGGCTATCACAGCATATTGGAAAGGTGTGAATGCGTTGTAATTGATGAGAGTGCTCTGGAGTCTGGACAGAATAAATTGCATGCTTTATATTTTAATTTATGGAACAAAGAATTACTAATATATTCTGCCAAACATAGACCATATCATATTCACTTAGAGCATAGAGGTTCATTTCTGATGTCTCAGTATTGGTGTTGAGGAATTACTGACAAAATACTTTGGTCTTGGCATTACGAGTGATGAAAAATCTGTGACAATTGACAGAGTTGATCCAAAAATTATTTGATTTGTAATATTTTGTTCAGTACCATGGATTCTCGAATGTTTGTTTCCTTTGTAAAATGGATGGTTGCGGGTATCATTTTGTGAAGTATGTATGCTTTGAAATATGCTTGCATTGCGTAACCCCAATAATCTATATATATATATATATTTTTTTATTTTTTATGCAGGCAGCTAATATTGAGGCCGAGACCTCAGGAATTCCAGATGGTGAATATCAATTGACAAAGCATGACTTTTCAAGTCTAGTACGTGCTAAATATAGTGGTATGGGCATCTGGCACTTCATCTTCATCTTCTTATTGCAAACACATTATGCCTATGAATGACTAGAACTGTCTTTATTCTGACCAGTGAAGTTAACTACTGCTTGTTATGTAGCAAAAATTGGAGGGGATCTGGTATATTTTTACAGAGTTGAAATATTTTACATCAGAACGTCACACTACTTCATTTTTAATTTTCTGATTTAGTGACGTTATTTGCTCATCTCATGATTTATTAAACAATAATCTCATGAATATTCTATGATGCTTTATTTATTTATCCTTTTCATTTAAAAAGGTTTCATGCTCCACCAATTTGCATTAATAACTCTATTTCACAAGGCTTCTTCCCATGTATTCTTATTCCTGGTGTCCTTTTATGGATTTCAGAATGTAGCACAACTGAATCATCTGATGATATTGAGAAACAAGAGCTTGAAGATGTGTCGGACGAAGATGGAACCTTGTTTTATGACACAAGAGAATATTTTAGTGAACCGACTGTTAGTGGTTCGCTGATGACAGAAGTTACAAAGTACTCGGAGAAGCATGAGAGATTTAATCAACTTGATAATGAAGAGAAAATGCAAGCTGAAAAGCAAGTTTGTAGTTCTGGATGTCCACATATTGAAAGGCGAAAAAAGCTCCCTGATCCAGTTGAGAAAGAGAAAGGGGTCAGTCTTTGGTCTATGATCAAAGACAATGTGGGAAAGGATCTCACACGAGTTTGTCTCCCTGTTTACTTTAATGAACCAATATCCTCTCTTCAGAAGTGCTTTGAGGACTTGGAGTACTCCTATCTTTTGGACAGAGCCTATGAGCATGGAAAAGCAGTAAGGGTTATATGCTTTTTAGTCTATTAGATGCTCCTTATGTCTTGATTCACATTGAACAGCCTTTTCACTGTGACATAATGACATAATGCTCATATCTAAGTGTCCTGAGTATTTCAAATTCTTTATTGAGTATCTATGTTTTGTTTCTTACTTTACATAGCATTCTATTCAATGATTTTTCACCTGTTTATGAGATTCATAAATTATGCACAATCCAGTTTTAATGTCCATGGTGAGATTGTAAACAACAACAGGACTGTCCATGGAAAGTGATTGAGTTCATTCTTCTTTATTTCTTGATTGTGTTCACAGTTTGTGGTCTTTGTAACAAACATTGATGCATTTGTAAGCATTTTCAATATCTACGCGTAATTAGGGAGCTTGAGGACTTCAGCAACTGAACTTGTCTCTGTATTCCTATTTGTTCATGATGTTCCCATGCTGTGGTAATGACTTGTACCTTAAGGTGCCATATGAAATAACACTAGCCGATCTAGCATCTATGGGAAAACCAGTGCTCCCAAAGTAAATATGACAGACTCCAATAAACAATATCTCTAGAATTCCATGCCATCGAAGTTGGCCAAACCTCCACATCTTTTGACTGGTCGATGTTGATGGTTTTCAGATAGCAATTAAGTTCTATAAGTTGAGGGCAAAAGCTAGTATTGAAACATCTTAAGCATGCAGTAAAATGCATGCACTGTTAACTCTAAATCTCTTTCATTTTATGTACTCACTGCCATGTTTTCTGCTTCAAACAATGCATGAAAAGGAAATCGCAATTGATTGCTGTTTGGTTCTCACTGTTCCGATTTTCTTTACTTTTCAGGGGAACAGTGTCCTAAGGATCCTAAATGTTGCTGCTTTTGCCGTCTCTGGATATGCTTCCTCTGAAGGTCGACACTGCAAACCCTTTAATCCTTTGCTTGGAGAGACTTATGAAGCTGACTTTCCTGATAAAGGAGTTCGTTTCTTCTCTGAAAAGGTCAGTAATCATCTCAGATTTGCGACAGAACAAGGTGACTTAATGTTCTTGTAGTTCTTCAATAGGTGAAACAAGCCAAACAAAACGTTCTTCGGGACGATAAAGGGCCTGTCTGGCCATGAATGCTTCTCTTCAGCAAAGTACATTTCAATGATATTTTGAATTGAAACAGGTTAGTCACCACCCAACTCTCATTGCCTGCCACTGTGAAGGTAGAGGGTGGAAACTCTGGGGTGACAGTAACCTTCGCACAAAATTTTGGGGCCGGTCAATTCAGCTTGACCCTGTTGGAGTTCTGACCCTAGAGTTTGATGATGGTGAAATATTCCAGTGGAGCAAGGTACACAAATCCAGTTGACTGTTTGTGCAGGACATGACTAGTCAATTCTTTTGATCTTCTAGCTTCAATTTCTATCAGTATGGGGCATTTGAATTGACACAAGATTGCCTATCTGTTAGGTCACAACAACGATTTATAATCTTATCCTTGGTAAAGTGTATTGTGATCACCACGGGATGATGCATATACAAGGAAATCGACAGTATTCATGCAAACTCAAGTTCAAAGAACAATCTATTCTTGACAGAAATCCTCACCAGGTTAGTCGATTTTGGAAATTCTACTTGTTTGCATGAGATCTGATGTGAGAAATATTTTAACTTTCTGATCTAGTTTAGTGCTTTTCCCCAACTTGATGAGTGTATATATTTTAGGTCCTCTGTCCACATATAGTTTCCTCAGAGAATGCAGCACAGTTGATAGTTATTTTCCAGTATATTATACAATTCATTCAGTGTCCTGTATTTATAGGTCCAAGGGTTCGTTGAAGATGTTTCAGGTGATAAAATTGCTTCAATTTTTGGGAAGTGGGATGACAGCATGTATTATACTACTGGAGATGGGACTGACAAGCCAAAGGATCGCATTCCCTCATCTAATGCCACCTTGCTCTGGAAAAGTACTAAGCCGCCACCTAATCTCACTCGGTACAACTTGACGTCATTTGCTATCACTCTGAATGAATTGACGCCAGGACTCCAGGTATTGATGATTTATCATATTGATTTTCTAGTATGCATGTTCCTTTTCCATGTTTGCATCTCTAATTGTTTTTTATAGACATGTCTGATCCCGGGTATTTGATAACGGATTAAGGAGAAGCTCCCGCCCACGGATTCGAGGCTTAGACCAGACCAGCGGCATTTGGAGAATGGGGAATATGAGAAAGCAAATGCAGAGAAACAACGACTGGAGAAGAGGCAAAGAATGGTATATTCACAGCTTGTGATCTTTCATAACGTAATTTTAAGCTTCATGTTAGTGCATATGTTGGAATAATTAAAAGAATATGGTGGGTGGAGCTGGACTTTCTATTGATAAATGGCAGAAGATTTCTTTTTGCCTCAGCTGAGATTTGAACTTAATTACTATTTGTAACTTGAGATTAGATATCACTAGTGTGATTATGCTGTTGCTTTTGCTACATGTGAACTTGATGGGATGTGGATAATTATGCTATCATGTAACTTTTTCTTAGTTTATTTATCTCTTCAACTGATGCCTAGATGATAATTGATTATGATGCTTCTATTACCATCAGAAGAAATCATATTTAAGAATTCTTTTCATGGCTAGATTTGAATATCAAGAGCTGGAATAAGTCATAAAACTTATATGTGCACTCATAAAGATCCATACTTCATTCATTCTATGCAGTCAAGGAAATTACAAGAACATGGATGGAAGCCCAGATGGTTCCAAAAGGAAGGTGAAAATGGATCTTTCCGCTATGTTGGTGGCTATTGGGAAGCCCGACTGCAAGGAAATTGGGATATATGTCCAAATATTTTTGGTGAATTTAATGAAGACCTCGTGGAATCCTCTGTCTGAAGGGCCTTGACTTGATGTAGGTGTGTGTTCTTCTAGAAAACTGCATTTTCCACTTTTCAAAATTGCAACTTCTTTACTTGATCAATTGCCATAATAGGCGCATGAAAACTTTTTGTGCTGCTGCACCATTGCTTAATGGCGAAACATGAACCTAAAGCGTGAGCAAGATTCAATATGGAGACTACTTCCTATTCTAGAAATACATTCGCCTTTTCTTTTTTCTTTTGGACTCTTCATGTGCTCTCCCCAACCCACGCTATCTGCTGAGAAGGGCAAATAATGAAAGAGTAGATGCGTATTGCGTTTTTAGTAATATTAGGTCCCTCTAAAATTGTGCTTACCATTCATAGAAGTGGAAATCAAATCTGACCACAGCATATAGCGTTTCTATTAAACCTGATCATGTGCTTGTTGATAATGCAGAAAGGGTTGTCAGAGAGCAAGCTGTGCACATCAACTTGGTTGGGTTTGTTCCAGATTCTAGCCACTTTCAAAGGTTCTAGTCCAAGGTTGACAGTTTTTCCAGTGGACGCTTGAGTGAGGAGCTTACTTCTTCCAGTTTATAAAGGATGGATAGGATAGAGCCATTTCCCTGTAGCATTCTTAATTGTCTGCTATAAGGTGTTATTTGTGTAATGTAGTCTCTCTCTCTCTCTCCTTTTATAGTTCTGTGAACCGCACGAGCCATTGACTGAAATTTTTATTTTGATATTTATTTATATTTCCTTGTTAGAAGCAAAAGAAAAAGGAAATATATTATTGCCATCATCCCAACTCGGAGCTTTTGGTTTAAGGAATATGTGTTCTTGAGCTGGGGTGTAAATTGGGAGAGTCCAACTCCAGGTCATCTTAAGCATTATTAAGGTGATAGGCATACTTCAACCCTAATTCAGCTCTGTTTAATGGGATTTTTAAGGTGCGGTGCAGTATATTTGGAAGATATAGGTAACTAACAAGACATTTGAATCTTTTTGAGTCCGGAATTTCGATTTACAACTTAAATTGTTTTTAAATTCAATGCCAATCTGACGAGGATGATAATCAGTTTTGCTGTGTAGAGCCTGACATCCAATTTGCTCCACTACGTACCAAAAAGATTTGGGGTGACACCAACATTGTTAATGGCTGAACCTTCTATTAGATTTGAGCATGATATTTGGGGTTGTTTACCATCATTTTCATAGTTTTTTGTTTTTGTTTTTTTTTTCAAATGTAGAAAGTCGATAATCAGTTGACTTTTTAAAACCAAGCTAACAAAATGGGTTTCATAAATCGCAATAATAGTTGCTTTTGTTTTTCAGTAAATAAATAAATAAATATTGAAAATAAAAATAGAATACTAAAACCACAAACGATATCAAACATAATCATTAACAACTAAATTTCCAAGAATTTATTTTAGACCAAGCTCTAGATAACACTAAGTCGATAAACGCATTACGCTGCAGTTAGATGCAAACCAAAATGATTCTAAATCTAAAAAAGCCTTCTTCTTCCTAAACAATGTTGGCGTATGGTACCAAAAAAAAAAAAGAGAAAAAACTGTGTTCGATGATGGGTTAGGGAGGCATGATTTCTAAGAACAAATGAAACAAAAATAATTTTTTATTTCGACGATGATTGAAATGCAAACTAGGTCTGTTACATAGGCACACGCATACACACGCATGCATGCACACACGCACGTGCACGCCTTCACACACACACAAATTGTCTGTGCACCTTCAACTTTGCTTGCAAAGCTTTGCTAGTAGTTCTAGCAACCTGCATCCATTTAATTTTCACAACTAGTTGAGCTTTCATCATTTGACTATACACACACGCACATTCAACTCACTTGATTAATGACGATAGCAAGTGAAAAGACATGAAAACAAATATGTACAAACATTCATGTAAAATCTGAGCCAAATGCCTATGAATGACAAAACAATCTTGAAAAGAAAAAATATATAACATTTTTTTCACAACAACAACGATGTTTGAAGGCCATTGTTTGCAAAATGACCTATGGTTTGTTTGTTTGTTTGTTTTTTGGGTTTAAAATGACAATAGAAAAAACACATGTTTCAAGGACGTTAATTCAACAAAAATAGGAACTTAAAAACCTTGTATCCATATAATTGAACTGTACAACAACATTATGATAATTCTAAAATAGCACATCTCAAAATGTGAAGAGCAATGTAGGACATTGAAAAGTTCCAACAATACATGTTCCCTTTTAATAATCATGTCGCATGCTTTCACTCTTGGTTAGGCTGCCATAAATATTCTTGAAGTTTTTTTCTAAAGGACTTGCAATGAATGAATTCAATCGTTTTTACCAAGAATTGACCTTGTGCTTTTTCAAAATAGCTAGTGGTTATTTGAGCTTTCCATCCTTTGAAATACAGCTTCATTTTTTGATGTAAGTGAAGATCTTTATGGGTTGATCCGATAAAAGGAGGAACTAAGCTGGAGTTATCCATAACATCGAAGTTAAAATAGTTACAAAAAAATCAAAGATTACTTGCAGGCAAGCTGAAATCATTTTAGAGCTATTTTAATAGAAGGATGAATGTGAAAGGACAAAAATTGCAGTTTCAAAAAATCTTTGATAAAGAGGTGTTTCCTTTAATTTTTTAAATCTTTAGTGAGAAAACTCAATCTTCATTTTATATTGATAAGATGTTTGACCTATATGATGACTACATAAAGCAAACGAATTCAAGACAATTGATGGTGGATTAGTGCAATCAATGACATGATAAAGATTTTGAAAAGAACCCTCAACACCTCCATTTGAGAAAGTTCCATGGTCTTACAGAAAGCGTCCTTGTTTGGACAGGCATCAACGGCAAGATGAAAGTTATCAGCTACCAATATATCATATGAATTTGTTCATAAGATAAAGCCATTTCAGGTGTAGATAAGAATGGACCAGATGATGACGGAGGGGAAAAGCAATGGATAGGTTGGTTAGGATTGCTATCATGATGCTTTGGCCATCTCAGAATGTTTAGATGTAGCATTTGTAGGATGTTGAGGGCCAATGATTTAATAATTAAAATAAGGGGCACAATCATGATCTTTGAAAGTGTCATTCAGGCCAAATCGTTGACTGATCGAAGTATATAAAGTCATGAAATGAGAGACTAGTGGAGCTAGTTGAACACACCCAGTCCGCTTATTAGAAGCCAATGATGACACAAATCCCTCTATTTAAACAATAAAAGAAGAAGCAGAATCATTGATCAAAGTAAGAACTTGAAACTATTTATCCTAAATGCCTTGGATGTTAGCTAAGGAATGAAATGAAACCAGAGAGTGATTGCAGGCACAATAAGTGGAAACAATAAGGTGATCAGAATAAGAAAATATTTGGAAGCCAAATCTTTCCCAGCTAGACACAATTGGGTTGAAGGCACATGAAAAAATTGTCATTTTTGACATAGCATTCTTATCTTAATATTTACATGGATATCCTTTAGTGCCTTTGAGTCTTGACTAATTAGCAACAACATAACTAAGTTGAATGAATTGACTAAATAAGCATGTATGAACAGTAATAGAACATAAAACAACATGTGAAAAGCAATCATACAAAATATGCATCATATAAAACAAAGAAAAAATGTATATGCACAACATACATGTCGGGCTTCAAAAGGCGAATATAGTTATACATATGGTTGGAAGAAAAGTTCATGAAATGAAAAACAATGAAAAAGGAAAACAAAATATGAGGATGAGCTCTAAAATAAGCATTATAATCAAAAGTTATTTTTTTCAAATAGTTTAATGACGGATTTAAATAATGATAAGGCTCAATAAAAAAAACGGTTCAAAAATAACAAACCTTAAATATTTTTTAAAAAAAGCCATGAACATAATGATCTTGATAGCAATGGAGGAGTAAATAACATGATTAGAGTCTAACAAAAAATGATAGTGAGAATCAAAACCCAAGAAACATTAAGGAAAATATAATGCCATTATTGCCATTTTGGACCCTTTTATGGACATTCCCTTAATTTCATTTGAAAAAGAAACACATCTATATCAATGATGATGATTTAATTATTTATTAGCTTAGTATTAGTGTAAGTGCCCAAGATTCAATCTGTTTGGAGGGTTTGATATAGTGTATCATTATAATTTCAATATTAATAAAGAAGTCTTTCTATTAACTTTTGTTATTTATAATTTGATAAAATTAGATAGAAGTACATATGATATGCATTGCATTAATGATTGATCAGTAGATTTGAGATAAACATCAATGCACATAAATGATATCATTAATTATCCTAAATCATAGCATTATCAAAATTGAATATTGACAATATACGGCAAGACTTGTGAGAGTTATGCTCTTACTATAAACTACAAGAGAAGATCTCTCACTTATTGACATGATAGTACCAAAGCAAATACTCAAGTGAATAATGTTAGAAAAGATATCATTGAACGTGACTTACTATGAGAACCTATTAGGTATTGTCTATTGGAATTTCATATGAGATGGGTACAAGTAGTTTTTTTGATTTGAAGATAATACGATTATCTCATTAAAAATGTCGCTACCCGACGTCGGACGGGACTCTAAAAAAAAAAAAAATCTCTTAGTCGCTAGTTTAAGATTTATTTTTATTTACAAAATTATTTACGAGTTTGAAGTCGCCACCTAGTATTGAAAGAACTAGGAACCTAAAATGGTCACCTGGTTTAGAGATTCTATGGTAAGGAGTTAGTTACGCTTATGGGAAGATATTTAATCACTCAAAAGCACCATTCTCTAAGAAAGGTACCATGTCTAGTCTAGTCCTAAATTCATCTCCTAAAGTGATTTTTTGCCAAATTATTTTTCAATTTAAAATTCTAATTTTTTTTAAAGTCAAATTAAGTTTTTTATTTTTGAGCGTGACATCGTATTGAAACGATCGTCGGATCCCTTCGTCGGGAGATATGTCGGTTCAAACATCGGATCCACTTTTTGAGTCTCGACACAATCGGTG